TCCTCAAAACCTTCCCTTGATCTTCCTATGGCTCCCGTCAGCACCTCCACACCTCAGGCACTGACAACACCACTGTCGATCAATGCACTCTCCCACCTCACTGAGCCAGTACGGAACCTTGGTGTCTTGTTTGACTTCAACCCAGTGTGATTGGCTCATGAACCCACAAAGCCGATCACCCCCATCCTGCCCTAGCTTCACCCTCTCCCCGTCCCCAGAGGATAGCGTTGAAGATCCTCGTCCTTACCTTTAAAGCCCTTCACATTCTTGCTTCTCCCTACCTCCGTGACCTCCTAAAACTCTACCAACCCTGCCCACTCCCTCTGCGCGGCAGAGATTGGCCTGTTCCACGTCCCCTGCCCTTCACGCTCTGTCATCGGCAGTTGGGCCTTCAGCCTTTCTGCCCCCACCTTCTGGAAGTCCATCCCCACACACAGACACTCACGCACACACACAGAGACACTCACTAATTGAATTGACTGTATATTTGTGGGCGAACGCAGCAACCAATTGCGCACAGCAATGTCCTACAAACAGTCGTAGATTGAAAATGACCAATTTATTATTGTTTTTGGTTTTGGAGGGATTATTATTAGGCTCTGTGTGGAGTAAGGAAACTTGCCCAAGGTTTCGCCCTCTGTCTGGAATTGAACTCAGGTCTCTCGCTTGCAAAGCGAGTGCTGTAACCACTGAGCTACAGGACTCCACGCTACATGAGCTACAGGCAAACAGAGAGAGAGACACACACAGACACTGACAAACACAGCAAAAGACACAGACACTGACAAACACAGTGAGAGACACACAGACACTCCCAAACACAGAGAGACACATACAGACACTCTCAAACAGAGACACACAGACAATCGCAAACAGAGAGAGAGAGACACACACAGACACTCCCAAACAGAGAGCTACACAGCCAATCGCAAAGAGAGAGAGACACAAACACAGAAAGAGCCAAACACACAGACACTCGCGAACACAGAGAGAGACACACAGACACACGCAAATACAGAGAGAGACACACACACACACTCACACAGACACTCACACAGACACACACAAGCAAACAGACACACACAGACACATAAACACAGATACTCACACACCACACGGAGACACTCACACACACATACATTCAAACACACAGACTCACACACAAACAGACACACACACACACACAGAGACACACACACAGACACACAAACAAACAAGCACACACACATAGATACACACACACACATTCACACAGACACACAGACACAAAACACACATACACTCAAAAACACACACAGACAGACACACACACACACACAGACACTCAGTCAAATGGACACTCACACACATACAGACACGTGCACACACACAGACACTCACACACCACACGGACACTCACACACCACACGGACACTCACACACACATACATTCAAACACACAGACACACACTCACACAGACATTCACGCAGACACACACACAGAAACACTCACACATACACACAAAAACACACACTCAAAAACACAGACTCACACATGCACAGACACACACACATACACTCAAACACAATCACACACACACATTCACACACAGACACACACACATTCACACACACACAGACACACACACAGACACTCACTCAAATGGACACACACACATACAGACACGCACACACACATGGACACACACACACAGACAGACACACACAAAAACGAACAGACACACACACAGAGATACACACAAACACAGACACACAAACAGATACTCACACACACACATACACAGACACTCGCACATACAGACACACACACACAGACACATACACTCATGCACACATAGACACACACAGACACTCAAACACACAGACACTCAAACACACAGACACACACAAACAGATACTCACACATACACAGACACTCACTCACACACACACAGACCCGGAGCCTCACACACCCGGACACTTACACACCTCACTCACACACACATACCTTCAAACACACAGGCACACACACACACACACACACACACTCACACAGACACACATAAAACACATACGGTCAAACACACAGACACTCACAGATATTCACACACAGACACACACACAGATATTCACGAACACACACATACAGACACTCACACACAGAGATACTCACACACACAGACAAACATTCACACAAAGTGTTGTTATTACCTCCGGAAAGCGATCCACCAATTGACTAACAACTGGATTCCTACTTACTGCTATTTAAACAGAGGCATGTGGAGTAAGGAAACTTGCCTATTGTTTCAGCCAGCCTGGGAATCGAACCCGGGTTCTCGTTTGCGAGGCAAGCGTACTAATTGCTGCTCTATGGGATTTCAGAATGCAGAAGTCAGTTAGTTGTAAGGACCCAGACATGGAAGCCTAGCCCATCATCATCTCCGGAACCAGAGATATGGGGGCAAACTGCAGCACTAACGCCACTCACCTTGCAAGGAACTACTATTTTCACCACTGTTAATGCACAAGCAGGGTTCAGACACTGGTTCATGTGGCCATGGATTAAGTATGTCAGAGGGGCATGACCAGTGCCTGCACCATCCGGTAAGCCAAGCATCAAAGCTGAGCCCTCTGTCAGCTTACTTGGTCTGACCCTATCACTTTACAAAGGAATGTCTGCAAAGTAAAATGAGACATTGCACATTGACTGCAATAACAAAGTTGTCAATATTTAATAATATAATCCTTGCATTTGAGATAGCGCTTTTCACGTATTCTAGACGTCCCAAAGCGCTTCACAGAATATACTGTAAAGTGAATTGACTGTATATTTGTGGGCGAACGCGGCAGCCAATTGCGCAAAGCAATATCTCACAAACAGTCATGGATTGAAAATGACCAATTTATTATTGTTTTTGGTTTTTGGAGGGATTATTATTAGGCATGTGGAGGAAGGAAACTTGCCCAAGGTTTCGCCCTCTGCCTGGAATGAACTCAGGTCTCTCACTTGCAAAGTGAGTGCTCTAACCACTGAGCTAAAGGACTCCATGGGCATTAAGGCCACAAATGCCCATTTTGTGAAACAATTGGTGTGGGATTGGCAAGATATCAACCAATTCCACCTTCCCACTGAATTAGAAGTTCATTAAACAAAAAAATCTCCCAGGGGGATGAGAGATTCTGCATCTCAGTTGCCCCTCCATTCTGCCTTCAGCAACTTGAAATTAAAATGAAACCTTGAACATAGGGCAACATCTAAGTGATGTAGAAATGTTAATTGAAATCTTAGCAATGTAGATAGTTACTGGAATAAAGTGAGCTGACTAACCAATGACACGGTCGAACAAGTTTTCAAGGACAGTTTTGAAGGCAGGGATCAGTGGACTCCGGCCTGCTCCATCTCCCTGACCTGCCTTCAGTCTCTCTGCCCCCACCCTTTGGAACTCAATCCCAGAGTCCCTTCACCTTGCTTCTTTCCATGCCTCCTTCAAGGCCCGTCTCAAGACCCTCCTCTTTGACTCCTTCCTGATCCCAATCCCCAGCTCGGGTCCAAATCCTTGACCATCCAGTAACTTGGACGGTTTAGCATGTTCTCCCGACATGAAAGGCGCTATACAAATGGTGAGTTGGAGAAAATTCCAGATGCAGTGATGCGGGTGGGAGGCATTTACAAGAAGATAAACCTGAGCATGATGCCTGGAGTTTTTTCCTTACCTGAGAGGGGGAACAATTTGATGCTCAGAAAATAACAATGCCTTCAGTATTTGCATTTGATATGTAAAGTTTAAACATCATCGGACCATCCAGTGGTAACACGAAACGCTTTCATCAATCTGATTTATTGAATAAGTGCATTTTCAAAAAGTGCAAGACAACATTTTAGCCACAAATTCTCATAATGAAATTGGGAGTCTACAAACAGAATAAGGTCTGTGATACAGAAAACAATGAAGTCTCTGTGTACACAAAATATTGCACACAGGACAGTCCGAGGCTGTCCAACTATGATTTTCAAGACAATGGGATGAGGTAATAATCCAATAGCATAGAGAGAGAGCGAGAGAGAGAGACACACACACACACACACACACACACACACACACACAGTCTCTCGCACTAGAGTTAAAGATACAAGCGGGATAAATTTGGCAAAAAAAACAAGCAATCAAAGCAGCGAGTAATAACAATCTTGGAATTTGATATAATGCCTTTTCACGTCTTTGAGACATCTCAAAGCACTTCACAGAATATACTGTAAAGTGAATTGACTGTATATTGTGCAGATGAAATGTGGTAGCCAAATGCGCACAGCAGTGTCCCACAAAAACAGTCATCGTGGATTGAATTGACCAATTTTTTTTTTTTTTTTTGACGGAATTATTACCCCCAGAAAAGCGATCCTCCAATTGACTCACAACCAGGTTCCTACTTACTGCTAGGTAAACAGAGACATATGGAGTAAGGAAACTTGCCCAACATTTCGCCCTGCCAGGAATCAAATTTGGGTGTCTCACTTGCGAGGCGAATGCTCTAACCACTGAGCTACATGATTTCATAAGTACCATTTTAACATGAGGAAGATGTAAGATTGCCTAAGAGCCTGAGCTCCGGTTTGCTGTAAAAGGTTTAAATGCTCGCATCGTATTGAGTTACCAAATAGTGGATGCTGAAAAATGCAAAATCCCCCAGGGAACTAAAATCACAGTACTACTCATCCACTCCGTTATATTTTGTATAATGTTTCATGGAAGCAGAACATAGCATAGGGTGCTGTAACACACCCAACACTACTTTTTAATTCACACTGGAACAGATCAAGCACTAAACAAGACTTCATACAATGGGTGAACTAAGTCGCTGAGGAAACTTTAAAGGAATTTAAGAAGTTCAGTCTCTTTCCTCTCTCTCCCACTCCCCCAACCCCATCACCAAAATCAGTTGGATAAATGGTTTTCAACATCCGAAGTTCAGCTCAGGTTTCACTGCAAGGAGAATGAAAAGAAATGTACATCAGCATTTTGTTCAAATATCCAAGTTTGGAAGTTAGGTCTGAATGCATGGCCATCCCTTACTTCACTCTTTTTTAATTCAAGTCAGAAAAGGCAACAGCAAAAACACACACAAAATAGTAGACGCAACAAGATGAAGACCTATGCACTAATGCGCTGTAAAAGCTAAAGCCCTACTGGATGAGCGAAAGCACAGCACACAGACCTTGCCGAAAAACTGCAAAAAGCAGATTAATCCGTCAGCAGGTCATGTACCTAATTGTGTTCTGTCGGCATATTGTGAAATTTGTGTGCAAATCAAGTCTTCAGCTTTCCACTTAAATTACACTAAGCGGTCACATAACTGAATGTTCCTTTTCTCTTCCCCTTCTCATTTTATATTTCTATGCATTCGAAGCATTCTTTTGCTATGTCCTGTGTATCAACTCATACATAAAATACTCTAATATTGCTTTTTGTTTAAAAGATATCAAAGCTTACTAAACCAGAAATAGGTACTTTAACAATCGTTAAGTGGTTAACAGTTTATTATATGACCCATTAGCCTATTCCATCCCAATAATTTCTGTATTGTTCACAAAAACAGAAAGGAAAACATGACTTTTGTGCAATTCGGCTCAGCAATTGCTTTCTGCATGCTCCTGCATGGCCAACAAGCCATGACACCAGAAAAGTGCCACGCAAACCCTGCGGTGTGACAGGTCACATTGCTTACGGCACTGAACAGTCAGTGTACGTGGTGACCATATTTCCTCTGCGCTGTGTGACAGTCTTGCAGTGCTGCTTGCTGGTACTCTGAAAGGTCTCAGTTCTCACTGTATTTTTGTGAGTGCTGCTGAAGCTGCTGAACGAGAACATCTTCTCCATGTCCTCAAACATGTCATCAAACAATCCATCGTCCAAAGAGTACTGTCCGCCATTGAAGGAAAACTTGCGTGCCCCCTGATGGCCTCTGAAGTGACCATTGAAATGTTTCTTGTGCTGCGGTCTGTGGCCAAAATCAAAGTCCTTCAGGAAATCGTCGAAGTTGAAATTGGAAGAATGGGCTCGATGACTTGCACCAAAAAACTGGTGGCCCATCTGGTCATATTCCTTCCTGCTCTTCTCATCAGAGAGGGTTTCATAAGCTGCAAATACAAGAAGTATCTCAATCACAACATGGGAGAATCATTGCATCGGCAAGGCAGATGGACAGATTTCTCTTTTTGGCCAGCTGGGTATCTCGACGCCTATGGAAACCCATCACCATGAATAAGTAAATCCAAATCAAACTAAGAATTCCATGCATCCCACCTAGACATGGAAAACCCAGATAGATTGTTGGAATGGACTGCACACTCTCTCCCTGGAGGGACGTATCCTGCTTATCTGATTCCCCAAAGCATTAAGTACAAATGGCAAGAGGCAAGGCCTGGGGATCCCACAGTGTGCGGTGCTGAAGTCAAACCAGCTAAAACCGCGTAGCTTGTCATTGATATCACTGTCTGGCAAGCTTTCCCACTACTTGTCCAGCTGGCACCATTCGGGTTTTGGCTTGCTGGGAGGTGGATTCCCTGACACCAGTGACTGGTCTGCCTTTCCAAGCCCTGCCGATGAGGCAGGCGGTCATCAGCAGTGCCCTGGAGTAGTGCGGACCTGCCTGGCTCAGGAACAGAATTACCAAGACCGCCAGAGGGCTGGAGTCGATTCTGATATCCCATTGCCAAACATATCACCTTGTTCAGCTCCAGGGAGACCCCACTTGCCTCCGCCCCAAGAAGGAGTCAGATTTGGACACATCACAAGATCGGTTCAATGTCTGGTTAACACACAAGGACTAAAACTCACCTTCTGCAATTTCTCTGAACTTGGCTTCTGCATCTGGGCTCTTGTTTTTATCTGGGTGGTATTTCATCGCGAGCTTATGAAACGCCTTCTTGATCTGACGATCAGATGCATTTTTTGGCACACCCAAAATATCATAGTAATCCTTCCTCGCCAGAATGAACTCGGATATCATTATAGTAAAGACGACAAATGCAAAGACAGACTGTGCTATTGCCATTATGATGAGCTCTTGCATGATAAAAAGAGAAATAAGAGTTAACAGAATGCTGCTGGTAAGATTCAAAGAATAAACAGATTTCAATATAACGAAGATTCAAAGAATTAAGGCTCAGTGTAAAGAGTACTTCTTCAGTCAGAATTTGTGCTTTTTGGACACAATGTGACTGGAATAAGACAGGAACCATATTCCCAGTGCAGCGAACATCGGGATAAACCATTCAATAACTAAGACACTTAATTTTCGATGGAGTTCAAGAGGATATTTTGGACACAATGTGACTGGAATAAGACAGGAACCATATTCCCAGTGCAGCGAACATCGGGATAAACCATTCAATAACTAAGACACTTAATTTTCGATGGACTTCAAGAGGATAGTCCTCAGTCAAGGCCTCGCTGCTGATTCAAAGAGTGGTGCCTACAAGACTGAATGTCATTTTCTTTCCATCCTTTGCTGTTGGAGAGCTGGATACTTTGGGGCTGACAGACATCCTGCTTGTACCGGTCTGGATCATTTGATTGCACTCATGACTCTGATTCACATTGTTTAATTCAAGCCCACGCGACTGTACTGGTGGAACATAGGAACAGAATTAGACCATTCAGCCCCTCGAGCCTGTTCCACCATTCCATTAGAGCATGACTGATCTGTGCCTCAACTTCATTTACCCGCCTTTGCTCCATATCCCTTGATACCCTTGGAGTCATGTAGCTTAGTGGCTACAGCACTCGTCTCGCAAGCGAGAGGACCTGGGTTTGATTCCCAGACAGGGCGAAACGTTAGGTTAAGTTTCCTTATTCCACACGCCTCTGATTACCTAGCAGTAAGTAGGAAGCCGGATGTCAGTCAATTGGTGGATCACTTTTCCGTTTTAATAATCTTCAAAGAAATGTTTTTTTTTTAAAAATTATTTGGTCATTTAATCCACGACTGTTTGTGGGACACTGCTGTGCACAATTGGCTGCCACATTTCGCCCACAAAATATACAGTCAATTAATTTACAGTATATTCTATGAAGCACTTTGAGACATCTCGAAGACTTGATAAGGCACTTTATCAAATCTAAGGTTTATTAGTATTATTATTACCCTTACCTAACAAAAATCGACCTGAGTTCTTTCAATCGATCCAGCATTCACAGCCTTTTGAAGATCGAGATTTCCACTATCGTTTGTGTGAAAAAGTGCTTTCTGATTTCACTCCTAAATAGCCCAACTCTAATTTTAAGATGATGCCCCTTGTTCTGGATTCCCCACCAGAGGAAACAGTTTCTCGGTAGCTACCTTATCGAATCCCTTTATCATTTTAAACACCACAATCAGATCATCCCTCAACCTTCTAAACTCAAGGGAATACAAGATTGTTGGGGGTGATCTTTTGGATGAGGTGTTAAACCAAGGCCTCATCTGCATTTCTGGCGGACACTGCCAAATTAGATTGATCATTCACTTCATAGCTGTTTGGGGGATATTGCTGTGCTCAAATTGGCTGCTGCATTCGCCTACAAAACACAGTCACTATATAGCAATAAATCTAGTTAAGCACTTTGAGACATCCTCCCAACATGAAAAACATAACATCAAATATATGAGTCATTTATTTAAATCCTGTGAATCACTTTGAGATGTCCACTCAAAGTGAAAGGTGCAATTTCAATTAATGTAGGAGGATTATTTGATGCAGTAATAGATTAATGGGTTAACTAAAACAACAACAAATCACATTTATGTAGCGGCTTTCACGTCAGAAGGACGTCCCAAGGTACTGGATCGTTAAGGGTTTGCAACCAACCTGGGGATTGGAATCAAGAGAGTTGAAGGTTAGGGGGAATGGGGTGAGAATGTATTGGAAGGCACGGTCAAAGAGGAACGTCTTGAGATGGGCCTTGAAGGAGGTGAGGGCGAAGGCAAGGTGGAGGGATTCTAGAATGGAGTTCCAGAGGATGGGGGCAGAAAAGCTGAAGGCCTATCCGCCAAGGGTAGGCAGCGGACATGGAGCATGCCAATGCCTGCTGAATGGGGGGAGTGGACAGATTATAATAAATAAAAATAATATTGCATTTGATATAGCACCTCATCATGTTGTCTCCTCTCTTGCTGTGTATTCATTTATAATAATAATATTTGCATTTGATATAGCACCTTATCACATCATTGAGATGTTTCAAAGCATTTCACAGTATTTACTGTAAAGTGGGATTGACTGTGTATTTTGTGGGCGAAAGGTTCCTTATCAGCCTTCCCAACTCTTCCCTTCACAAGCTGCAGATCATCCAAAACTCTGCAGCTCGCGTACTCTCACGCATCAGGCTCCGTGACCCCATTACTCCCACCCTCGCCTGACTCCACTGGCTCCCCATCCCCCAGAGGATCGAATTCAAGATCCTTGTCCTCACTTTCAAGGCCATCCATGGCCTTGCCCCCTCCTACCTCTCTGACCTGCTGACTCCCTACCAACCAGCCCGCTCCCTCCATTCATCAGGCTCCGGCCTGCTCCACGTCTCCCACCCTACCATTGGTGGCCGGGCTTTCAGTCTCTCTGCCCCCACACTCTGGAACTCCATCCCACAGTCCCTTCGCCTCACTTCCTCCCTTGCCTACTTCAAGGCCGGTCTCAAGAACCCTCCTCTTCGATCGTGCCTTCAGTTGACCTCTCACCTCTCTGCTTTCCCTCACCCCTACCCCAACCCTCTCCCATGCTCAGGTCCTGACCCCTAACTGTCCAGCGCCTTGGGACGTCCTCCTGACGTGAAAAGCGCTCTATAAATGTAATTTTGTTGCTGTTGCTCTTGTTGAGGTAGGGAGGCGCACAACCATGAAGGGCCTCAAAAGTGAGGACTGGATTTGAAACTTGATTCTCTGAGGGAGGGGCAGCCAGTGGAGCCACGCAAGGAAATGATGTGCAGCACAGCAATACAACACAGGAAGAGGTACTTCCGAGTCAAACCACTCCTCATCAATACTAATCTTCGTATTTGACTCAATTTCAACAACAATGAAAGTGCTTCACATGTACTTCCTGATATGAAAAGCGCTTTATAAATTTAATTTGTTGTTGTTACTTGAGGTTTGGTTGACTTTATTTATAGGTAAACTACTTGATAAGGTGCTCTATCAAAATCAATGATTATTATTATAGGTATTGGGCTCGCCACTGTATTTGTTAAAAGGTAACATTCAGCAAAGTTCTTTTTAATTCTACCAACTCCCATCGGATCAATCTGTTACAAAAATGTTTAATTTGCTGTGCTAACTCTTGAAGAGGTCACACAGAATGATTGACTGCAGCAAGTGAAAGACTATTTTCCAGAAAGCATTCAGTCATCATAGAATCATAGAAGGAGGCCATTCGGCCCATCGAGTCTGTGTCGGCTCTTTGACAGAGCAACTGACTTTTATTAACCCCAATCACCAGCTTTCTCCCCATAACCCTGCAAACCCGTCTTCCCCAGATACCTATCCAGTTCTCTCTTAAAAGCTGTTATCGAATCGGACTTCACTGCCCTTTCGGGCAGATCATTCCAAATTCGAACAACTCGCTGAGTGAAAGAATTTCTTCTAACCTCCCCTCTGCTTGTTTTGGTAGATACCTTAAGACTGTGACCACGAGTCACAGACACACCTACCAGCGGAAACAGCTTTTCCTTATCTAGTCTGTCGAAACCTTTCATGATCTTGAAGACCTCTATCAGGTCCCCTTCTCTGCTCTAATGGGAAAAGTCCTAACTTCTCCAGCCTGTCCTCATAGCTAAGGTTCCCCATTCCTGGTGTCATTCTCGTGAATCTCCTCTGCACCCTTTCCAGTGTCTTAATGTCCTTCCTGAAGTAAGGTGCCCAGAACTGGACGCAGTACTCCAGCTGAGGCCTAACCAGTGTTTTGTATAGATTAACCATAACCTCCCTACTCTTATACTCTATGCCCCTACTAATAAAGCTCAGTACACCAAATGCCTTTTTTACTGCCTTATCTACCTGCCCCGCTACCTTTAATGATTCGCTTACTTGAACACCCAGATCTCTCTGTACGTTCACCCCCCTTAAGATTGAGCTACCAAGTCTATATCGCCTCCTATCATTTTTCCTACCTAAGTGTATCACCTCACACTTACCACATTGAAATCCATCTGCCACATGTCAGCCCATTCCATCATTCTGTGTATGTCTGCCTGCAGTCCGTCACAATCTTCTTCACTATTTACTACCCTACCTAACTTGGTATCATCTGCAAACTTGGAAATAGTGTCCCCTTAATACCGTGGGCCTCCAGTTTTTTTATTAACCTCTTATGCGGTACTGTGTCAAAAGCCTTTTTGAAATCCATGTAAATAACGTCCACCGCATTTCCCTCATCAACCCTCGCAGTCACCTCTTCAAAAAATTCTATTAGATTTGTGCGGCAAGATTTGCCTTTAACAAATCCATGTTGGCTGTCTCTTAATTACCTCGTGTTCCTCTAAGTAGTGATTTATTTTGTCCCGGATTACGGTCTCCAGTAACTTTCCTATTAATAATTTAATTTCCGGGCTTGTCTTTTTGCCCCGTTTTGTAGAGGGGGTAACATTAGCCACTCTCCAGTCTCTTGGCACCACTCCTGTGTCCAATGACGATTGAAATATAATGGCCAAAGCCTCCGCTATTTGAACCCGTATCTCCCACAGCAACCTTGGGTGAAACCCATCTGTCCTGGTGACTTAACAATTTTGAGCCCAGTCAATCTTTTCAGAACTTTCTCTCTGTCTATAGTAATCTGATCTATGTCCTCTACCCTGTCATTCAATACTGTGGCATTTGGGACATCCATTTCCGTAGTGAAGACAGATGCAAAGTACTCGTTTAGTACATCAGCCAGTCCAACAATTTTTTTTTATCTTTCATTTGATTGTGCCTTTTATATCAGTAAGACATCTCAGTGTTTCATCAGACGTATTGTAAACTGTATTTTGTAGGCAAACACGGCAACCAATTTGCACATAGCAATGTCCCATCAACAGCCATGACTTACTGTTGAAATGGTGGGGGAGCACCATTGGCCAGGACAACAAGATAAACTTTCTTTTCTTTTAAAATAAGCCATTTGATCTTTAACGTTCACCTGAAAAGGCAGACAGGACTTCAGTTTATCATTTCATCCTAAGGATAGCACCTTGAACTATGCAGCGCTGCCCAGCACCCCGCCAGCTCTGCATTGGAGTGTCGAACAAGATGATAGGAGTTCAAAGATCCAATACTGGGTCAGAACGCTCAACCTTCTGACTCAGAGGCAAGGTTTATCAACTGAGACAGGCTTGCAACCAAATCCATCAAATAAACAGTTAGCTGTTCAGTACAGTATTTGTCCAGTCAGGAACAATGGGGCTTATCTAACATTGAGGCTATGTCTGCAATTCCAAGTAACAATGATGAACAAGAGTAGCTGGTCTAACATCAAAATTACATTGGATTACATCTAACATCAAAAATAACTTGGATTACATGTCTGGCAAAGTCTCCAAGTGATAGTTCAATTCCCCTTACCTTCTATCTTCTATTCTCCCACAAATATACAGTCAATTCACTTTACAGTGTGTTCTGTGAAGTGCTTTGGGACGTCCTCCCGACATGAAAAGTGCTATATCAAATGCAAGGATTATTATTATTATCTTCCCAAGGAGAATATGCTGTATTTAAACATGATATTCATAATTAAGAGCTTGTGTACTACAATGATACATGAACCCCAAGGACACTGGCCTCCTCAGTTTCAGCTGTTATGTGCTCCACTGGAACAAATCAGAGTTTGGTCATTGAAGCAAACACCCTACTCGGTACAACCTCTGGAAACATGTTTTAATAAAATTTATTTCAATATGCTGCTCGCAAGTCACACCAACAAACTTCCAAATCTATAATACTTATCACGCCATGGAATCAATCTTAAACATCTTGTGGAATGTAATTCCAACAATGCAGCACTGAGTTCAGAGAGCCGACACAGGAATTGAAGCCACAAACTGCTGACTCAGCACAATAATTGACATCGAAATAGTGCCTTTGATGGCAGGAATATATCTCAAAACACTTTATAGTGCTGGCTGGGCACTCAACCTAGGGTGGGAGCAGGGTGCAGGAGGAAAATGATGATCGAAAGCACGGTCAAAGAAGCACATTTGAAATATTCCTTGACTGAGCAGAAGGCGAGGGCTCAGGAATGGAGTTGCAAAGCGGGTACTGGGGAGAACAATAACAACAAGATTACATTTTGTATAGCGCCTTTCACGTCGGGAGGACGTCCCAAGGCGCTGGACAGAGTACAGCATTTCAGACCCAAGCTGGGGTCAGTGGGGGGTGGGGGGAAAGGGAGGGGAAGGGTGGTGGCCGATGGCATGGTTGAAGAGGAGGGTTTTGAGGCGGGACTTGAAAGAGGCTAAGGAGGGGTGAGGCGGAGTGACTGGGGGATGAAATTCCAGAAGTTGGGGGCAGAGTGGCTGAAGGCTCTGCCACCAATCATGGGGCGGGTGGGTTGGGGGACGTGGAGCAGGCCAGAGCCGGCTGAGCAGAGGGAATGGGCAGGTTGGTAGGGGGTTAGGAGGTCGCAGAGGTAGGATGGGGCAAGGCCATGGAGGGCTTTGTAGGTGAGGACCAGGATCTTCAACTGCATCCTCTGAAGGATAGGGAGCCAATAGAGTCGGGCGAGAGTGGGGGAGATGGGGTCGCGGAGTTTGGTGCGGGAGAGGACACGGGCTGCAGAGTTCTGGATTATCTGCAGCCTGTGGAGGGAGGAGTTGGGAAGGCCGACAAGCAGTGCGTTTGCATAGTCAAGCCTGGAGGTGATGAAGGCATGAACAAGAGTTTCAGCGGCCTGAGGGGTGAGATATGGCAGAGTCGGGCGATGTTACGGAAGTGAGGGAAGGCAGAGCGGGTCATAGCTTGAATGTGGGGGAGAAAAGACAGTTGAGGGTCAAATAAAACACCCAGGTTCCTGACTGGCTCGGTGAGTGGAAGTGTGCAACTATGGAGGTTGATGCTGCCAGAGCCTGAGGTGCTGAGACTCTGGCGCGAGCCAAACAGGAGGGCCTCAGTCTTGTTCACATTCAACTGTAGGAAATTTACCCTCATCTGGGACTTGATGTTCAACAGGCAGTCTGTCAGGACAGCAGTGGTCCTGGAGTTGACAGTGGAGGCAGAAAGATAGAGTTGGGTGTCATCCGCATACATGTGGAAGTTGACCCCATGTCTGCAGATGATGTCACCAGGGGGAGCATGTAGATATTAAAGAGAGGGCAAGGACAGAGCCCTGGGGTCACCAGACGTGACAGTGCGGGGGCTGGAGGAGAAACCGTTAGAGGCAACAAAGTGGAGATGGTGAGGGAGATAGGAATTGAACCAGGCAAGGGAGATCCATGAAGACTGAGTAAAGGGGAGAGGCGGTGTATGAGAATGGAATGGTTGACAATGTCGAAGGCTGCAGAGAGGTCGAGGAGGACAAGGAAGCAGAGGGAGCCCTGAAAACAGATGTTCAGAATGTCATGAGTGACTTTGACCAGAGCTGTTTCCGTGCTGTGGGCAGCGTGGAAGCTGGATTTGAGCGGTTCAAAGAGGGAATGGCGAGAAAGAAAGGAGCGGAGCTGGGTCACGACGACTCATTCCAGGACCTTGGAGAGAAATGGGAGATTAGAGATGGGGGGGTAGCTGGAGAGGAGGGACGGATCCAGGGAAGATGAAAGAGGCCAGTGTTTGCTGAGTCTGAAGGTGAGATTGTAGAGGGTTTTAAACGAGGATCATGAACTCAATCCACTGGCGGATGGTGAGCCAGTGGAGCCGAGCAGCAATGGGAACAATAGGCTGATGGAACTTGGCGTGTGACAGGACACAGGCTACAGAACTCTGCAGTTTATGGCAGCAGGAACTGGGGAGTCTGGAGAGCAGGATGTTGGAATAATATTTTTTCATTTAGTATATTGCCTCTCATGTCAGGAGGGCATCTCAGAGCACTTCATGGGACCTACTGTAAAGTGCAGGGACTGTGTGCTTTGTGGACAAATCACAGAATCATACAATTATACAGCACAGAAGGAGGCCATTCTGCCCATCAAATCTGTGCCAGCTCTTTGAAAAGAGCTTTCCAAATCAATCCCACTGCCCCGCTCTCTTCCCATAGCCCTGCAAACTTGTCCTCTGCAAATAATTATCTACTTCTCTCTTAAAAGTTGTTATTGAATTGGCTTCCACCACCCTTTCAAATGCAGCAGCAAACTAGCAGACAGCAACATCCCACAAATAGTCATTAAATGAATATCCAATTTTATTGGCGAGGTAGTGATTGTTGTCCAAGAGACACGGAAAACACCCCTTTTTTAAAAAAAAAACACCAAAGGGCCTCATTTGAAACATCTCATCCGAAGGACAGCACTTCTGACAATGCAGCGCACCAGCGCTGTACTGGAGTATCAGTCTAGGGAATATGGGTCCCGAGACACCACTCATGAACCCACAACCTTCTGACTCAAAGGTGAGAGCACACTATGACGACAACAACTTGCATTCTTATAGCGGCCTTCACGCAGGGTAGCATCCCGGAGAGCTTCACAGTAACACTGTCAGTGAGTCTGACAATGAGCCAGGGGCAGAGGGTGGGGGGGGAAGAGACCGTAAGCATGAAGGTCTTTAGGCAGGATTTGAAGGTGGAGAGGAGCAAAGCAGAGGAATTGACAGAGAGTTCAGAGTTTCCCGGTACAGTGGCTGAAGGCACAGCCACCGACGGTGGAACGGAGGACATGAGGATAAACAGGATGCCGGAGCCAGCCAAGCAGAGGCAGCGGGTGGATGGAGTGCAAGGAGGTGCGAGGGCATGAAGTGATTTGAAAACAAGCGAGAGGATCTTGAAATCTGTTCAGTGATTGGGAGCCAGTGAAGCCTGACAAGGACTGATGTGATGTGGGTACGGAGTTGTATGCGGGAGTATCCAGAGATTTGAATTAATTGGATTTGTGCATGGCAGAGCTAGGGAGACCAGCGAGGAGGGCGTTGGAATAGTTCAGCGAGGGAGCGACAAAGGTATGCATGAGAGTTTCAGCTGCGTTGGCTGTGAGGTACGGACAGAGGCGGACAATGTGGCGAAGGTGGAAAAAAGCGGTCCTGGTTAGGGAACAGATGTATGGTAAAAAGTAAAGCTGCGGTTCGAACCTGACAATTAAGTTGTGCACGGATTTGGAAAGTCTGAAGGAGCCCGGGAAGGATGAGGAATTCAGACCGGCAGGAGAGAAGACGTTGATGGGAGCCAAAAAGTATGGCTTTCGTCTTGTCGACATTCAGCTGCAGGAAATTTGTGCTCATCCGGGCCTTGATGTCCATCAAACAAGCTGGCAGGGCATCAGCAGACTGGTAGTCGCAGCTGGAGGAGGAGAAGTAGATTTGGGTATCATCCACATACATGTGGAAGTTGACCCCCATGTATGCGGATGACATCGCTGAGTGGGAGCACGTAGGTGAGAAAAAGAAAGGGGCCAAGGATGGAATCTCGGAGTACCTTGCAGATGACCGGGTGGGGGCGAGAGGATAAAACATTTGTCGAGATGAAGTGCTGGCGATTGGTTAAGTAGGACTTGAACCATGCGAGTGTAGTCCCACTAAGATGGATGAGGAGGGGAGTGGAGGAGGATGGCGTGGTCCAGGAGAACAAGGAGGCAGAGAGAGTCCTGGTCACAGAGAGATAGGTCGTCATTTGTGGTAGGAACTGTGAGAGGTGACAGAGAAGGAATGGGGAGTTCCTCCAAGACATAATAAGGCGTTATATCAAATTGAAGTATTATTATCGAGATATTTCAAAGCACTTCACAGGACAGACTATAAAGTGTAGTGACTGTTAATTTTGTGGGTGAAATGCAGGAGCCAGTTTGGAGCACAGCAGTGTCCCACAATCAATGGGGGATTGTTGGCTCGGACACCGGAAGAGAAATCTCTTCTCGTTTCGAATAGTGCCACATGACCTTTAACATCCACCTGAACAATTTTAATAATCACAATCCTTGCATTTGATATAGCAGTTTATCACATAGTTAAGATATCTCAAAGCACTTCACAGAATACACTGTATCTTCTGAGTGAAATTTTGGGGGGGGCAGAGGAGGAAGAGGCAATTGAGGCTGCGCAAAAAGGACAGGACAGGTGGCAAGACAACCCCGAGGATGAGGGGTGGGGAGTGAGAGAAGAGTTTCCAGGGAAGAGACCGTCACATAAAGTTGACATTACCAGAGACAGCTGCTGACTGGAGGCCGAGACTCCGCTGCGGCCTGTAGGATGTGTTGTGTGTCGCCTACTGGAGTTGTATCTCCGATGCGGCTGCCAGGCCTGGACAACTGACCGTCGCTCTCGGCGCCGCCTATTGTCCGGAGAGAGAGAAACTGCCTCCACGTGACTGTCTGAACCGTCGCTGATTGGTCGCGCGCTCCCAACAGCGCCCCGCCCCGCTCCGCACCTTCAGCACCACGAATCACTCGCTGATTGGCTGCCCAGCCTTTGCGGCTCCCTGGAGTCCGCATGCGCCGTTGCTCGTCTTTCCGTTCTCGCTCTCACTCTGCGCACGCGCGTGTTTCAACCGCCAAAGCCGCCGAGTTTGATTTTTTTTACGTTACACATGCGCAGATGTGGCCTTTGATCCCGTCAGTTCGCCTTCAATTGCGCCTGCGCGGCTGGTCCTGGCCGGGCCTGGAGGAGGAGGTGGTTTGTTTGTGTTTTTTGAAAGAAAGGAAACGCCTGTAATTTTTGAAATTTATAATAAAAGGCGTTGGAGAAGGATGTGCCCCCCCTGCCGCGGCCCTGAGACATGCCCAAGTACTGTGCGGCGGCCGCTTGTTGCAATCGGTCCGGCCAGCTGTCAGCCGACAACCGCAAGCTCAGCTTCTACCCGTGAGTACAGCCTGGCCTGCCTGAGCTAATGCATGTTTGTAACCCAAAGTCCACCAAATAGTGTCCCCAAAAGTAGCCCCAATGTTGTGTGATACCAATAAATAGTAATAATCCTTGCATTTGATATAGCGCCTTATCACAATGTATATAAACAGTATATATATGAAATAATGTATATAAACAAGTCTACTTGAAAGCAATTTTTGAAAAAAAACTTAGCTGCTGGATATTTCAAATTGTGTCATGTGCTGCTTGTGAAGTGCACTTGTTGCACAATCCATCGTCGCAAGTATATTCTGTTGTGAATGTAAGCATTCTCTATCATTCAGCAAATTGATGCAATCTGCATTTGCCCAGAACCGTATTAATACCAATGAAGTCTGTCACTTTCTTTGCCTTACCTTACCTTACCCGCGCTCTCCCCATAACCCTAATCAACCCACTCCCCTGCTCTCTCCCCATAGGTTCGATTCCTGGCACACTGGGCAAGTTTCCTTACTCGACATGCCTAATAATAATCCCTCAAGCAAAAAAAACAGTAATAAATTGGTCACTTCAATCCATGACTGTTTGTGGGACACTGCTGTGAACAAGTTGGCTGCCACATTTTGCCCACAAATATACAGTTAATTCACTTTATGGTATATTCTGTGAAGAGCTTTGAGATGTCCAGAAGATGTCAAAAGCGCTATATCAAATGCAAGGATTTTTATTATTATCACATGGTCGAGATGTCTCAAAGTTCTTCACAGAGTATATTGTAAATTCCAGTGATTGTGTATTTTGTGGGCGAAATGTAACAGCGCACAGCAATGTCCCACAATCAGCCATGGAGTGAGTGACCAAATTATTTTGGGGGGATTGTCGTCCAGGAAACCAGGAGAGAGTTCTTTTTCGAATAGTGCTGTTGGACCTTTAACATCCACCTGAACAGGCAGATAGGACCTCAGTTTAATGTCTTATCTGAAAGACGGCACCTCCAACAATGCAGTGCATCCCCAGCACTGCGTGTATTGGGACAGTAATAGTGGCTTTGTGTATAGTGATATATGCAATACTGATAGTACAGCAATAGGACAGTAAATGTGTCAGCCCAGCTCAGTAGACAGCATTCTCGCCTCTGAGCCAGAACATTGTGGGTTCAAGTCCCACTTGGGGGCTTTGAGCTCACCTAGTCCAGGCTGACACTCCAATGCAGTGCTGAGGGAGAGCACTGCATTATCAGAGGCACTGTCCTCCCTCCTGATGAGACATTAAACCAAGATTAAACAGAATGGGACAGCCTTGCTATCCAGGTGGACGTTAAAGATCCTGTGGCACAGTTCGAAAAGAGAAGGGAGTTTCTCACTTCTGACATCCTCCAGATAAAAGTTGGTCATTTGCTCCATGCCTTTTGTGGCACTTTGCTGTGCGCAAACTGACTGCTATCAGAGCAAACCAACACAAGTTATCTAAAGCTGTCATCTATTTGAAGAACGAGGTAGATTGCAAAGAGAGGGAAGCGTTTCTCATGGTGTCCTGGACAACAATGCCTCAGATGAAGTTGGTGGTTTGTGGGATTTCACAGTATGCAAATTTGCTGCTGTGAGTGTCTCCAAAATACACTTTACAGTAAATCCTGCAAAGCGCTTTGAGATGATCTCCTGACATGAAAGGCACTAAATCATATATAATGGTTATTATTCTTTATTATTATTCACATGAATTCTATTTTGAAACCAAAATGCCCTGACCCTAACTAGCAGGGGCTAGGGCATTGATGGAGATTATGTCTAGTTTTAGGGGCAAAAAACAATAAAATTACATTTGTAAGGCCCAGAGTGAGCTACGTCCGGAGTGAGGCGAGGCCAGAGTGTGAGGAAATTTGGTGAGAGTGAGAATTAGGTACAGAGGGGGAAGTGGGGGCAGGCTATATATCTTTGTATCTATATAAAGATTGTGAAGATGGTGTGGCAGGTAAACTGTGAGGTCTGTCACATGTGGGAGTTGATAGAGGGCGCCTTAAGCCCGGGTGACTTCATCTGCCGCAAATGTCTGGAAATCAGGGAGCTTCAGCTGAGAGTAGCTGAGCTGGAAGCCCAGGTGCAAACATAGCGCTCCATCAGGGACAGTGAGAGGTTCCTGGACAGTATGGTGGAGGAGACCCTCACTCCCCTCGGACTCAGTGATAGCAGCCCATCACTGTATAGGAACCATGAGAGAGGGGTATTGGAGCCATCGGGGGGTCAGAGTTCAGGAACAGGACCACTCCCAGAGGAGCCCAAAACACAGCCACATGCTGAAAGTGATTGGGTGACAGTGCGACGGGGAAAGAAGAGGGCTTGTGCAAGGCAGAGCACCCCCAACAGAGTACCGGTCTCAAATCAGTACTCAGCATTAGCAATTGAGAGCGTGGAAACCTCCCATGAGGACAGCAGTGAACATTCTGTCCAACAGGGGCATGAATCACACGGGCAACACTGTTCTGATAGGGGATTCAACAGTGCGAGGCACTAACGGGATCTTCTGTCATAAGAATGATGAGGCTTGGATGGTTTGCTGCCTTCCTGGTGTGAGGGTAGTGGACTTTACCCAGCGTGTGGACAAGATTCTTCAGGGGGAAGGAGAATGTCCAGAAGTCGTGGTCCATGTGGGGACCCACGATATTGGGAAGAAGAGGCCTGAGATACTCCAGGGCGAGTATCAATAGTTGGGGAACAAACTCAGGTCAGAACATCCAAGGTGGTGATCTCTGGGTTACTCCCGGTGCCTCGGGCAACGGGGCACCATAATGAAAGGATCAGGCGTATGAACGACTGGCTGGAAAAATGGTCCAGAAAAGAAGGTTTCTGTTTTGTGGACAATTGGGACCACTACTGGGGGAGGTGGGATCATTACCTTGCGGATGGGTACTTAAGCAAGGCAGGGGTTAGCTTCCTGGCCAAGAGATTATCGAATGCTGGGGGGGCTAATTTAAACTAGTGGTGAGGAGGGATGGGTATCCCAGGATAAAAAATAGATTAGGGAATAAAGGAAAAAGACAAGTGGGAAATATAGAGCAGGTATATGTGGACAATTTCCTCAAATGCATGTACCTAAATGCATGTAGCTTAGGGAATAAGGTTGATGAGCTGCAGGTTCAACTGGCCGTAGGGGTTACGATGTGGTAGCAGTAACTGAGACATGGCTCAAGCCAGGACAGGAAAGGGAGATAAATATTCCAGGGTATAATGTGTTCAGGAAGGATAGAGAAGGAAGAAAGGGTGGAGGGGTGGCAATATTAGTTAAGGATACAATTGTAGCTGTAGAAAGGAACGAGACTCTAGATCTAGAGGGCCCGACAACAGAATCGATCTGGTTAGAGGTCAGAAATAGGAAAGGAGTGGTTACACTGATAGGGGTTTACTATAGACCACCAGATAGAGGGAAGGAGATGGAAGAGCAGATCTGCAACCAGATCACGGACAGATGTAGGGCGAACAGAGTTGTCATAATGGGGGATTTCAATTATCCCAATATAGACTGGCAAAATAGCAGCGTTGAGGGCAAGGCAGGAGAAAGATTCATCAACTGTGTACAGGAAAATTTTCTTGAGCAGTATGTCTCCAGTCCTACAAGGAAGGAAGCATTGCTGGATCTTGTCCTAGGGAATGAAGTAGGTCAGGTTGAACAAGTTTCGGTAGGGGAGCATCTAGGTAACAGTGACCATAATATTATTAGATTTAGATTACTCATGAACAAGGACAAAGTACAGTCAAGGGTGAAAATGCTTGACTGGAAAAGAGCTAATTTTGATGGGCTAAAGAGGGACCTAGAGTTGGTGGACTGGCAAGTAAGAATGGCAGGTAAAACGACTCATGAGCAATGGGAGATCTTCAAAGATACGATAGCTCAGGGTCTAAATAGATATATTCCCACAAAAGGGAAATGTGCGAGAACCAAGCCAGCCTGGATGACCAGGGATATTCTGTCTAGGATGAAAAAGAAGAAGATGGCGTACGACAATTGGCGGATGCAAGACACTGAGGATAGCAAAGCGCATTATAGAGAATGCAGGAGTGATCTTAAAAGAGTGATAAGACAGGCTAAAAGATCGCATGAGAAGAGGTTAGCGGGTAACATAAAGGGGAATCCTAAAATATTTTATAAGCACATAAAGGAAAAAAGGTTAGTTAAAGGTAGGGTGGGGCCAATCAAAGACAATGACGGCAATCTTGTTGTGGAGGCAGAGGGCATGGCTGATGTACTGAACGAGTACTTTGCATCTGTCTTCACAACGGAAACGGATGCCCCAAATGCCGCAGTATTGGATGAGAGGGTAGAGGAAATAGATCAGATTACTATAGACAGAGAGGAAGTTCTGAAAAGATTGACTGGGCTCAAAATTGATAAGTCACCAGGACCAGATGGGTTTCACCCAAGGTTGCTGTGGGAGATACGGGTTCAAATAGCGGAGGCTTTGGCCATTATATTTCAATCGTCATTGGACACAGGAGTGGTGCCAAGAGACTGGAGAGTGGCTAATGTTACCCCCCTCTACAAAAAGGGGCAGAAAGACAAGCCCGGAAATTACAGGCCAGTCAGCCTAACTTCGGTAATAGGAAAGCTACTGGAGACCGTAATCCGGGACAAAATAAATCTCTACTTAGAGGAACACGAGGTAATTAGAGACAGCCAACATGGATTTGTTAAAGGCAAATCTTGCCTAACAAATCTAATAGAATTTTTTGAAGAGGTGACTGCGAGGGTTGATGAGGGAAATGCGGTGGACGTTATTTACATGGATTTCAAAAAGGCTTTTGACACAGTACCGCATGAGAGATTAATAAAAAAATGAGAGGCCCACGGTATTAAGGGGACAGTAGCCATTTGGATTAGGAACTGGCTGAGTGACAGAATGCAGAGGGTGGTGGTTAATGGGTTAATCGAAATGTAAGGAGGTGTGCAGCGGTGTCCCCCAGGGATTGGTATTGGGACCACTGCTCTTTCTAATATATATTAATGATCTGGACTTGGGCATA